GGTTTTATCATTTTAAGCTATAGGGAAAGGACAATTGTACTTGTAGGAACCTCTGTTTTAATGGGGTATCATATGTATTTATCGCTAATTCAAACATGAGAATAATTTGTCAGTATTGTCGTAAAAATAATTTAAAACAAAATAAATAAATCATGGTTTAGTATTTTAAAAAGTATTACAAAAGACAGGAATTATCACTACAAATCCCATCTTCTCGGGTTGTAAGGGTTCTAAAACCGAAATAAAACCGCCCATAAAATATTATTGATTACTTGTAGGAGAGAAGCCCTCTTGTCTGGCTAAAGACGTTTCCGTGCGTACACAAGAAGCAGGCAGGCGTATTTGAGCCGACCCATCAATTTCGTAGGGGAATATGTTTAGTAACCGGTTTAAGAAGTTTCTGTTTATTTATTTTACATTAATAACGTTTTAAGTTTTGTCAATTTGGACTTTGCTGTTCAGCAATAGTCCAGTGTACATGTACGTCATCTTTGTTTCTTACGAAAATATCCACAGTCCATGTAAACACGGGATTCATATAAACGTTATCAAGGATGTATTGATATTTTGATATTGCCCTGAGCTGATCATTTGGGAATCCATCTATAAGACCGTGTGTTTTATATGATACTGATAATAAAGGAAATAATACTCTGTAATATTCTATACGATTATTAGTGATTTCAGCCTCCAAGATCCCAGCCAATGTTACCCCGGTCGGTAACCAGCTTCAGTATATTGATTTACCTAAAGTGTACATAATTAAAATGTCAATTTCTTTCCAAAGAACATTTATCATTTCCTGAGTTTATCGATAGTATGGACAGCCATTACTCTAGCATTCAAACATTATCTCGATAACTCAATGTAGAAGCTGGTAAAATCGCATTACGTCACCGCCGTTTAGAAAATTGTCTTTTACTTGTTCAAGGCAGTCACCCATCTGCTAAAAGGAGTCATCGTAATTGACAATACATCAAAAATATGTTCACTGTATCAAAACTATAATTAGATTTCCCTGTTTTCTTACCATTAAATTGCAAGATGGAAATGGAGTAGAAAATAATATGTTTTAACTGTGGAGATGCATTTTAAAGTATAATATGCTATATTTATTTATATTTGAAACACTAGGTACCGGGCATGCCACGACAAAGAGAGTCAGGTGTAAAGAGATCGTTCAGCTTCACTAGAGTTACTCAGATATGCTATTTACCAGGGCATGAAGCTGAATAATATATAAACATTGTCTCATTTTTTGCCAGTAGAATTTGAGCATGCATGTATATTCAATTTATGCCATTAAGCAATATGGTACACCAAAATATATTGTATACGATTACCGTAACATCCTGGAGCAGTATTCATAGCATCAATAAAATTGATAATCTTTGACATGTTTTTGCTGCAATAACATTAGTGTTTAAATAGCAAAGGATACGTATTAATCAATATTTGTATGTGTCTGAACTTGATAAGCCACATGATTCACTTATGTAGCATTTGATTTTGATTTAACTAACCAAATGTATCATTTGCATTTTTTGAAACAGTACATATATGAATGTGTGCATGTACGTTTCAAACACTATGTGAGTTACTAAATCTATTTGCCCGAGTATTTAAGTTTAATGATTATTGGTGGAATTCACGAACATGTTTGCCGACTAAATCAGGATTAGCTATTAATCAGGGAAACATATTAACTCCCAGTTGTTAGATGTACATTTCTTTGATGTAAATTTACATTTTGATAGTGGAATGAAATATCCGAAAAAGAAATCCTTTCGATTAATTTTAAACTATACGTTCAAAGGGAGCTATGAAGAATTCAGTAAACAAAAATATAAAAGATTTGTCGAGGTTTGGCTGATAAGACCCCCATATAAATGTCAGACTGGGCTATAGCCGATAATACTGTGTGTTTATTACTTCATCGACAACATTGAGTAGCTACAAGGGGTAGCGTAGTGCCCTTCACCACTGTCGGTCTCGTTAATGCCATAGCCAGGGACAGACTCGGCAACGTACTTTGCAACAAAGCAAGCATATTTACATATATATAAATAGGACTGTTATAAAAGAATCTCATTTTTATGTATTCTTATGTTTGTTTTTATATATTATGAATTAATATATTATAAATGAATACATGTTTTGCGTGTGAAACAAAACAGAAATGTATGACAAAAACCTAAAGATGAATATTGTGAAATAATTAGAATACGGTTTATTTAATTCATGTTTCTGTTGAAAACTATATATTCGTATATTTTTTTACTAAGGTAGCATAGGATAAATGAATATAAATCAATACTTAATGATATTAAGAAAAATACTTCCATGGGTTTTCACTTTTGATGTTTTTGATAAATCAGTATTCACATAAATATTCTAATGAGCACAAGTACTATTTATATATCAAAAATAATGATAATAAAATGATAAATTAGAATATTTCATTGAAATATTCAGCTGATAAACAATGTTTAGAAAAAGCTTTGACAGGTTCACAATTAACAAAAAAATATATTTCCATGTGCACACAACATTCAGAGGATTATTTGTGTCCCTTCGAAGTGAGTTAGGGTTTTATCTAGTACAATACCTATAAACGGTTTAAGATACATAGATATGCTTTGTAACAGACTACGGTATCATATTCTATCAGAAAGAGACAAAGCAAGGCTTCAGTTTAGTTAAAACCTTGAAATACAAATGTATAGTGTTTCAACCTCTAAAAGTAAATTATGGTCACTGTCAAATATAGAGTTTAAAAGACATATAAGAAAATTACATGTGTACCAAGAAATATTTGAATGTTGCCCTAAGTTTTTAAATAATAAAAAAAAAATCAGGTAGGGTGCATATATATATATTGAAGTATTTTATAACCGTAGGAAAAAAAGGGGTATCTCTGATTGAAAGGGATTATTCATGAGTAATTGGACTTATGATCTACCTTTTGAGCTGATGATTTGGTGTGTTATGTTTGGGAAGTATGTATATCTATTGTAAATCCTTTTGTCTCGAGTTTAACATAGACTTGTGGTATAAAAGTTAATATAATACTTAACATATTTCTACAGCATGAGATATATGTCTGATATTTTTTTTATCTGTTTAGAGGGGAATCATTTAATAGTTTGTTTTATTAAATATTTTAAACATTATATCAATATTTATTTATTAGTATATTTATTATATATATTTACTCGTGAATGAAATTACAATATAGACATATTTTAAAGATAATGGAATAACATTTTTGGTTGTTTTATTCCACCTATACTTGGCAAATGTCCATCGTGGTATGACGCTGGGTCCCACACGTTCATCAATACACAAATAAGCAATAATTGTCGTGCATATCGACTAATTAGAAAATTAAGTCATGCACTTTTATAAGTGGTTTATTACGTTCAAGTGCATTTACCTGACATATAATTTAAATTGCACATATAGACATAACTTGTTTGTTCAGACATACAGACTGTAAAACGGGATATACAACTATAGTTTATCGTTATTCGTGTCTGTATGTACAAACCAGAAATAATACAGTATACTTAGGCACATATTGGCCATGACAAATACAACAGCGTCATGCTTCACTTGGCGCTGTATGCGTAAGTTGAGTAGGTTTTAATTTTTACTTGGATATGTTACGTAGCTGTGTTTAATTTTACGGCGTTGCGTTTGACCGTGCCCTGCATACGATCTGTTCGACAGAACCACTCGATCACAGTACTACATGTGGTGTAGACATATCTTATTTAGAATTCTAAGCTCAAGTTGGCAATAACACTCAAGCTTGAATGTATCCCCTCCACTACTGCCTTGGGAAAATATGTTCAGCAAAGCCAACAAGCCTTCGTGAATAATACATAATGTATAGTTTTATCGAGGTCCCTGGCCCTCTCAATGGTTTTCTCTAGGTTATGCATTAAAATTCCTTTCTCTTTGTGCAGTAATGCATAGTACATTTCATCGTTTTACCTGACCTGTTATTTTTATTGTTGTAGAATATTGCTTTAAGCCTTTTCGTCAACTCACTTTATATTATAACATTCTATGTCTTGTTAATGTTGTGGCTGCTATTACTATTGTTATTTCAGCAACTATTTTCTCAGATATCTAATACAGATATATATTCTTTGTTGCATACATCTGTGATAGGGAGAATGACGTTTATATTTTTTATACTCATTTTCCGTTTGGAATACAAATTTATATTGAGTGTATAAATTACAATCAACTATTAATCTGGAAACTCTGGCTTGAAATCATAATGGCTGTTTCTCTGACATGACTGTGTTAGTTTTCATCTGATGCAGTTATAAGTTTATCTCAACAGTGTTACTGTTGTTTTAATGCACATAATGTTGCTATTTATTACCTGTTTTCTATATGCAATATCATTACTTTGGTTTTAATCCTTAAGTCTTCCGTTTTTCTTTAGCCCCATTTGTGATATGTTATATCCCCATAAAGCATTTTTACTACTTTCCCCTGGCAACTTTAGAAGGGAGGTCGACGTGAGAAACATAAATCTATCATAGGGTTTGGTGCATCGTAGAACAACGATTTACTAACGGTGTAAAATGCAGAGGAGACGTTGTTAGGTTTACACTAGTAGCTGTTTATACACGCCTATAATTCGCCAATTATACTGACGTTCTCGTGGACTGTGGTGTTTGAGTGCACTTGGTTATACTGACTTTCTAATAGAAGTGTTTTATGGAGGTTTTACACACACTTGTATAATAGTCTTTCTAGTACCTGTTTATGTATTTATTCAAGCAGCAGCTATCACGACTTTTGTGTATATATTTCAGTAAAATATACCTATTCAATTAGTTATCATGACCTCCTAATACAAGTTTATGTATCTGTTTAATCAGTATATTTTTAATATCCAGCTTTAGTTATACATCATTTTAATGTTATAATTATTCTGACGTTTATTAGGTTTAAATGTGACAATTATTCTGACTTACCAACAATCCCCATCCAGGGGTAAAAAGGCGTTGAAGGGCTTGCTTCAGATCCCGAATTTATGCCTTGATCCGACTTCATGTGTTTTTGTAGCAACATAGACTGACAGTTGGCAGAAGCGTCCAGGCCAGAGTAGGGACTATGTGTCTGGTTATTGTGTACAGAGTCCGGAGAGCTGCTCTGTATCCCCCCGTGTGGAGGGGGACTCCAATTGTCTGTACTACATGAACTGTACGACCTATGCAAAGAGGAGTCCTCAGAACCCTGGTGGGCCGGGGCTGGTTGAGGGTAGGGCGGTATCCTCCCCCCGCCCGGGGGTGTTGTCCCGTGGCCGTGTCCTACCCCATGTCCAGGTGGTTCTGCCGATCCTCCTCCTCCTGACCCTGTCCCCCCGCCCGATCCGTCCCGGGAGGGGTATTGAGAACCGTCCGCGGATTGGTGGTGTGGTGAGTATCCGTTAGGGATAGCAGCCCGATGAGGATCAAAACTACTATTATGATATGCCGAAATTTGATCGGCAAAACGTGATGCTAGTAATCCAAAATTGTTTGACGAGTAACCAACATTGTGAGGAATATGTGAGTTTTCCGAAGAGTACTGAGCAAAAAACGATGCCGGATAGTACGAATTCATTTTTGAGAATATATTGCCGTTTTTGCTATTTTCTCACAACATGACCTATACTCTGTACCGTACCTAGTGATTTGTGGACATCCATCGCTTACGTCGGCCCAAATAAATCATTTGCATGGAAATCAGAGCGAACGTATTCCGACCAATCAGCGACGCCGTTAGAAAATGGGCTCGGCAAGTGACTGCGCTGACCGAATCACACCTTTACGTAGATAGTGGCTTACTAGCGAGGTAGCTTCGACTGGTCTCAACAGTTATTTTCTCAATCCCGTGATGGCGTTTAATTTCATTATCTTGCAAAAGGTATCTAGATTTGTGGAAACTATCAGTTTTATAGGATAATTAATAGAATTAAGTGTTCACTTTTTCTTCAGCTTGAGTCTTAATCGCTTGACAAAATGGCAGTCGTGGTGTAAACAGGCTGACATTACGGGCAGAATTTTCCTCCTGAGAGTCATACAGAATCTTAAACTATCAGCCAAAATAATAGCTAAAGATAAATGCAAACTAGTGCTTTTTAAAGGACTATTCAGGGGGTTGGTATACCCTTGGTGGGAAATACGACACCGTCTATCGTCACGTTGTATATATGCTATAACGAACAATTTAGGAATATTTCTAACTTTTTTTATTCGTTTATTTTCAGTAGTTTGTCTGGGTTTGTTTTTCTCATTTCTTCCATACGTCAAGAACGTTACAGAATTTGTTTTAAAGAAATATATAGTTATTACATGACTTACTGCTAAAATCAATTTATATTGACAATTGTATTCATACCTGAAAACTATTGCTTGATAATTTTATATTAATTACATTTGATAAATGTATGTCATATTCAATTTTAATTGTATTTTGTAAATAGCATAATAATAAAAAAAAATATACTAATACTATAATTTGTATATTTATATTTACATATGTGCGATATTAATATTTCATATTTGTTTGTTTATATTTCAGATACCTGTGATCTAACCATATGTGTTGGAAGTAAGATACAAGTAAAATGGTAAAAATTAGAAAATAAATGAACAAAAGACCCATTCCTCGTGGACTTATGATGCGTTGCAATTTACCCTCGTGATTAATTGTTTTTTCTGTAATAATTAAATGGGGGACATGTAAATCATAGCTCTCGCTGAATATTAACAAAATGAGAAATGGAGATTTTCGAAAATGTCATTTAGATTTTTTTTCTACATCTTCGTGTTATTTTCCCATATATAAATCATGTTCAGTGTTCAATATTACAAAAATGAAAAATGACAAAGATTGAAACACAATTTTGGTATTTATTTTTTGCACGTGTTTCTATTTCTACTCTGCTGTTGTGCGTTATATTTTTTCTTATTGCTTAAGACTTAGACAGTCAATCGATGTGACAGAAGATGTGTCATCTTTATGACTTTGGCTAGTTTATGGTGAACCTTTGGATAGAAAGGACGTTGATGTCTTTTTTCACAGCCTAGGGTGAAGGGAAGATTCTACGTGAAATCAAGCGACAATATAACTCTGAATAAGGTGAAGCCGAGGGCCATTTCATAAATCATAAGCCTAATTTAGTTCAGTAAAAACCAATGAACCGAAATAAAAATATTGACGATATTTGTTCTATTTTGGCACCTGCAAGAATGTTACCATGGTAACAGTTGCCAAGCTTGGTGTTAATGTGTTGGGTAATTGAATGGCTTTGAAGTACAATAAGAGACTCGGGTGTGCTCAATATGCCTTCTCGTCAGAAGCATTGATAACGTATTGTTTTGTGGAGAAATAATTTACAGCCATCTTATCTCCAATAATAACTATCAACATTATAACATAAATCACTTTTACTCTAAATTGAAAAACTGAATGATAAATGAATTCCTAAAAATGTAAAGGAGAAATTAACCATTCTTTCTATCGAATCATAACAATTATTTCGCTCGTGTTCTGTAATTACTTTGTTTATAATACAGAATGTGTATGTAATGATTATAATATATACAAAGCAAAATTTTACCAAACAAACTTTGTTTAAATTATGAACAAAGTATACTCAAAGTACAAACGAATAAATTATCACTAAGATAGGACAAGTTAATTTCACCATCACTAACCATATAGTACACCATATTTATAAAAATATTGAATTTTATTACAATTATTGACTTTAGAGAGTACGCCTGATTTTATTAAAATACAGTCGTAAAATTAAAGCCTGGACTTTATATATATATAATATAATGCCGTGCTTCCCTGAAGTGTTTAAAATTTTATGGCGTATACTCTACAACCTATCTCTGCCAACCATCTGCCCAAGATGGAGTTTACAGGAAAACCTTCAAGGGATAAACAGACTCAGAATTATCACTTATATCGCAAAACAGAAAATGTATTACAATAAACAAATAAAACTTCTGAAATATCTTGAGTTTTCATTTTCAATCAATATTTTTTTATCTCTATTGCATGTTATTTTATTTTCATCATCAAATGTTGCCATGCATAACCCACCTTTGCGCTACATGAGGCAATTAAACCAACGTTCAAAGTCGCCATTCCAGTTTGGTGAGTACTCATTGCTTTCTTTGGCACTGGGGGACATAACACGGAACATGGGGGAGAAACAGCGAAGAAATTGTGTTTCCTTGCAGTATATATTACTCTTAGCAAGAGAGTTGTATGTGAATGTACAACAATGTTCCATTATTTTTTATCAATATTGTATTGATTATGTATATATATTTATATATATTATTCATAAGTTAACATTTTTTCTATAGCAGGTTTCTCCATTTCTTAAGCAAAATCATTTTTTTTTCATGATAAAATCATGTATGCGATATAATTAACATAATTGCTTGATTACATTATATGTGATAAATAATTCTCTAGTACAATGAAATAGTGCCAAGATTTTGTTAACTGCTCATTCAACCTTTAACATAATTGTGATTATGCATAGACAGAATTTTTAAAGTAAACGTATTTGCTGTGTTTTGTTCACAATTCGATTTCAGTCTTAATTCCCATCTCGTGGATATTGATTATTATATAGACAATGTGTGCATAAGTTTGAATGCCAATATTAAGAATGGTTTGTTCTGCACAGTTTACTATAGTTACTGCAAGTCGCAGGAGTTTCCCATGCATAATCTCTAATGAGGCATATTTGATTAAATCTGATAGCTAAGCTAAGTACGCAGGAATTAAGCAAGATTTATAGAAGCTTTTTGCTTATTTCATCTCTGGAATATGTATGTATATAACTGCAAATTAAGTTATGATATAATGGAATGATAATATCGTCCCTCATATTTTGTTATTTTGTCTTTTATTTTTACAGTGATGTCCATATTAAAATATTATCGGTAAATAATATCAATTTCAGTATGGCTTTTTACATTAAAGCTTTTCAATGATAAATATCAAATTATGTTAATATTTATAAAACTGTTGACTACATAAATAATCAATAAGCTTTCTATTACCACCATTATCTTAGTTATACATATAACGTAGAGATGTTATAACAACGTAAAAATGTGCATGTGTTGTTTTTTTTTTATTTTGTTGCAAATATCAGTGTATACTAGATATATATATTTTCTTTCTTAGCAATATACATTGTAAGGTGTTTTCATAGCATCAATGGTTCTGGTTGTGTCTTTCCCCTTTAAGTTATGGTCCCTACTTGTCAGGTTTATGAGCGGTTAGACGCCCACCCATGGATGACATCAATTAGTATACTGACCACACCAACTGGTGATACGTCAAAATTGGACACAGTTCTCAGTTATATGCGAGTTATAATATGTACATATGATAACATACATGTACAAATATCGAAAAACTGGAGGTTTAAGAAATAATAATCTATCTTGTCACACTTTACCAGTGTTTGACCCTTATTTCACACTTTCTACATCAAACAATGATCAGTCAGCATCAATCGGATTTTACTCATGTACTTTCATATAAATCATATTTATTAGTATGGATGTCTTATAACAAAACGCATATTAATTCTACGTATACAGGAGGTATCACTGACCACACAAAGACTGCGTATGGTCAGATTTATAGCACCAAGGTGTCATAAAGTATTAATATGTGTTATGGTATATTTATGGTATGAATAATATTACAACTATGATATAAATATACACGCTGATAAAATCCTTCCTGGCTTTGTTTATCACGCTATAACATTAATATAAAAATATAAACATAATGAATCAAATTTAAAAAAAAAAATGCATTTATATTTCTGAATTTTATGTTCACATTTAACATCTCATAAAGAAATATTCTGTGTATTATATTTCAAAATATTAAAACATGTTTCTATATTCAACTCATATGTAAATCAAAGTTCATAATACCAAGTCATGGCTCAGTAAATAGGCCTATCTCTGTCATTTATATGATATTTAAACTAATTCCGTAAAGAGTTATGCTTCATGAAGTTGCTCAATGAAGTTATTCAAGATATTGGTAACTATGAACTGATCGTAGGCAGCAATGTACATTATTTCTCAATTATTCAACAAATAGTACATGTTGGTATCATTTACAGTATAGTAAACGTTTTCTATTTGTTGGGTCTCTGTCTTGGCTGAAAAGAACACATTTGTCATTCACATAACTGACTGCCCACACCAGAAGATACGGTCAAGTGGTGACTTCAGGGCCAGTAAAAACGTGTTAGATTGGCACACGAAGTTACGGTCAAGTGGTCGGACTCCGGCCGATCCGCTGACCAGTGTACACGGCCCAATCAATAACGAACTTTCTCGGGGTCATTAGTTCGACGCCATAAATAAAGAAATCACATATCGGATAGCTTTATCAGCCACAGAGATTGTCTTATTAGTTGTATGTATCCTTAGTATAGAGCGTGTGTTCACTAGAGTGCCCAACTAAATGAACTGACGGATTAGCCAGGGATTGACCGAAGTTCATTATTTCAAGCCAAAATCAATGTCCAGCCCTCTAAGCCGGGTCGACACCAAGGGGTCCCTTGTGTAAAAACTATAATTTTGTGTGTCCAGTTCCAATACGTCTTCCGAAGGCAAACTAGCTTGTTCGCTGCTGGAACCTATTTTCAATATCATTTA